TGTACTTAGTTTTTGTTTCCTTATTGAGCTTCCACGAACACACACAAAAAGCCACGTTCAAACATTAATCAGGTTCATACATGCGGAGGATTAGATGAAGGACGTTGCGTGAGATCTGCGAGTAATCATCGTGGTCACGTGAGCGACGCAGACGTCAGTGAAATGTTACAGATTATGGAGTTCGGTGTAAATCATCTTAGATTATTTTGAAGTGGTTTTGTAAAGGAACGTGTCTCTATTACGAGGGTTAATCTTCCCTATTTGATAATTGTGCTGTGTGATAAAATGTTTATTTCATGTTGGAAAATGCTGTTTATTTTTTAAAATACAAAAGACAGCTCTCATATGGTAAATCATAAACGGTTATACTAGTGGAACCAAATGCATTGAGGACATTTTAACATATCAAGGACATTTTGTTACACCAGCTTCAAGTTGAGAAATAAAATATTAACAAATTTCTAAGATCTTCTTCCACTTAACAGGATGATTGATCCCTTTGCTATTCCATGTCATGAGACTGAATTTAATGTAACACAAGGGTTTTACTGTAAGATATAAAGTTAAACACTGACTCTTGACCAATCTTTAAACAGAGGCTTTCCCTCCCATCTCACAAAGGACTTCTTGCTCTTCATTATCAATATAAAAATAGCTTCTTTAAATTCAGTTGCTGTTGACAAGAAGAATTTGGTCTGTGTGGGGGGCCAAGCATCAACTTTTCCAGCAGGGTTAAACGTTACTTATGGTCGTTTTCTCTTCTTTTATTTACTTATTTGTAAGTAATTTGTTAAAAATTATGTATACATAGAAATATAAAATACAGTGCTTTAAATGTCTTTTATAAAACAATAACCAAGCCTTAAATCTTGCTGCACTTTAAAAGTTTGAGTTCTTAAATCAGTTTCTTAAAGAAAAACATGTCTCAGACTCACTGAGATGTTGATGTTTTAGCTTTGCTGACGTGTTTTGGTTGAAGTTCCAGTGGACAGTCATCTTTCCAAAAATAAACCCTGATATGCTGCAACCTTTTCCCTCCATACTTTATCATCTCTATATAGTCAGTAATGTTAATAAGATTGTACAAGAAAATGACGCTGTTTTTTTGTATTGACTTAATATTGTCTGAACCTTTTTTATAAATGAAGTTTAGATGCAAACTCATGGAAGGTCGTAAACTCCTGCACACAGCTGCAAGTTTCTGTGAGATATAGTGAGTTTAAAGGCTGATGAAGGTTTCTTACAACATAAATATAAATTAATACACAAAGAAGTACTTCATGCCCCTAAAATACTTCAAACAAAATGAAGCCGTACGGGTGAAATGTCCTGTAATGACCTCGCAGAGGTGGTGTGTGCGGGTGACCGGATCAGCTGTTTGTTTTTCCTGGAAGGAAATCCACAGTTTGATCCTTTGTTGACTTTGACACAGAGTTTCATGTCTGATGGTCGTCTGCTGCGCTCGGCTTATCAGCCGCTTCCTGCTCGGGTCGAAAGGTCGCAGCGCTGCAGGGAAGGGACGCAGGGAAACCCCCCTCGTGTTCTTTGGAAAACGTTTTCCATTTTACAGAGAATAGTTGTATGTATGTATGATTTTTAAGTATTCGTAAGCTTTCAGGGTTCAATCTCTGAAGTCTTTTTGTCATTGTCGTTATACAAGCATTTGTACAATGAACTAATTTAATAAAGTTAAAGCCAGTTTTCATAAACTGTTTAAAACGGCAATCAGACGCTATTTTGGTTTGAGAAAATTAAGTATATTTACAAGCATTAGTCGTAATCAGAGTCAGACATGCAAGGGCTCGTTGTTGTCAAATATTTAATAAAATATGCAAAAATATTATGAATGTAAATATGAATATAATACCTTAAATATCCCAGTAAATAAAAGGGTTCCTGCGGATGTTTGTGGAGAAATATCTTGTAATATTGTATTTGTCAAAATGTTTGTGATACACGACTAGCATCCAGGATTTCTATTCAAGCTACATAATTTATATCTAGACTAGGTTATATACATTATACATTTTCAAAACATTAAAGAAAGGAGAAGAGAATTAAAAATAAGAAAAAGATGTCCAGATGTCCACTTTCTTCGTACCTCTAAGAAAGTCTAGTCTGCTTATTAAAAGTTGAGTTTAATGGATAAATAAATGGATATTCAATAATTAAATGAGGAAATAATTAAATAAATTGACCTGTAGATGAGATTATGTCAAAATAAAGACCAGCATCATGAAAGATGCATACAAATCTATACAAAAAAAACCCTACATTTTATAACAAACACTGTTTTATTTGTAACTTTTAGGAAATAAACTACAGAAATCTTACCTCAAAGTCGACTTGCTAACTTTTTTTCAGCGCTTTCAACAGCATCTCTTGGTCTCCCTCAGTGCATGTTACGATGCAAACACCATCCACTGAGGATGATAGTGAGATGCAGTTCAAGTGTATATATATATTACAGAAATATATTTTTACACCTGCCGCCTTTCTTCTCCGTGTCATGATTTGAGTTTGTTTGTCAGCAGGATTAATAGCAAAATTTTAATTACTCTTGATGGAAAGGGGTTTAGCACGAGGCAAAGAAGAACCATTAGATTTCTGAGCGGATCCGAATCACGGGACAGATTCACAATTGTATTTCACTTCCGTTAACATTGCGAGATCGCCGCGACTACACATGCAACAAAAACATAACAAATGCAACAAAAAACAATCAGGGGTGTGATTTTTTTCAGATGAATCCACTCTCTGAGTGTTAATAGTTAAATATTAGTATCGGAAAGATTGAAAACTGTCAACCAGAACTATCATAAGCCTGTTTTCCTGCAGTCTTTCCAAGCATCACTTCAAGAGCATAAAATCTCAGATTTAGTTGTTGTTAGTCAGACAGTGTAGAAGACCTGTCAATCATCGTGGGAGTGACAGGAGGTGGTGGGCGGGTCTACACCACCCTGATTGACACTTTGAGTCTGGTAACAGATTCCTGACGGCGTCTTTTAAACTGTCGGTCTCTGCAGAGTCATTAAGGCTTCAACTGATCTCATCCCTGCTGCAACACCAAACGAAGCTGAACACACACGAACACACATGTGCAGTATGTGTACGTGCAGCTGAAGCCGTAGGCACACAACCACAACACACACCCCTGATGTACACAGAAAATATTGGCAAATAGCCAACCACACACACACATGCAGACAGACACGCACGCAGACATTCAGAGGAAGTTTCTGTAATCATGTCTGTCAACACAACTGACCTTCAACAAATCAGCTTTTATCAGTTTTAACAGAAACTGTCACAGCTCTGTACTCTTGTTCTTCTTCAGCACTTAATCCGGCACTGTGTTTCGTTCTCAAGTAAATACTTTTTTTTGTATTTTCTATCAGAGTGAGAAGAAACATCAGGGTATCACTGAAATAGTTTGATTCACCAAAATCAAAACTCCACTTTTTTTTAAAGTAAACTATACTTTGAGGAATATAAACATATTTTCTTTTTTATTTAACAAAAGAAGTTTTTTAAAGTGCTTTGGGTTTTTTTTTTAATACAAGCAGCTGTGCAAGAACTTCATCAAAATAAAATACAGTTGGAAAATTGTAAACTTTTAGATTGAAGTCAGAAACGATGTGATCAAAGACTTTCAGTACTTCAGTCAGTAAAGCTCATAGTGGCATCTAATGTACCTAATCAGTGTTTCGAATTAGAAATAAATGGTAAGAGAAAAAGAGAAATTATGGTAATTATGGAAAAATAAAAATTATTTTCTGTTTCCCTTTGAGCTTCTTCTTACAATATACGTAAACAGACTCCATGTTTGACTAAATATTATCAGATCTGCAAAGGTCGTCTCCTAAGTGGGTAAACGGTAGTGAGGTGCAGCTCAGACGCAGGTCACGTTAGGGTCATTTGCAGAGCTGAAGTAACCCAAAGGTCGCAGCCAAAGATAACCTGTTCCTGTATTGATCCCCTGTAGAGGAAGCCTGTGACTCTCCAAAGCAACACGTTAAACTCGTTAATAGGTCTTAACACATGTATAGAGAGGGGAATAATATGGAATCTCACTATAAGTAAGTGGACTTCAGATTTGGTTTGGTACTACACGGTGTTCTCACTCTCATTTCTGCAGTAAATATCGCAGCGTGAGACATCCTGAGTGTCCTGAAGCCTTCTTCATTAATAAGCTCATCTATGATGCCTTCAGGGTTAGGGTTAGCAGCAGGACCCTACAAAGCGAAAGCTCGTTGACAACTGCATTATAATACTGAACATTTTGGTCCCTTACGAGCAAAAAAAAGTTTTAAATCTCCTCTTAAGATGTTTGTTTTATTACTACCTTTCATCTATTCTTCCACAGGCTGGATTTTGTCTCTTGTTCGACTCCTGTAGTTTTGTAGGGCCCTATGAAATCCGTTTAAAAGTTTTCCCAAATTCTGTGTTTTGCAATTTAAGAACACTGTATTCAGTTAATTTTGAATTAAAAGTTGAATTAATATTCAAATGTATGTGCAATTGTTTATGCATTGCAACAGTAGGAAATTAAAATACTATTTAACAGGTGAAAATTCACAAATGCATTGTTATTGCGATACATGTACTGCGAATTATCCCCCTGTTAAAAAGGTTATTTCTAGATTACGGACAGATCTGATGGAGGCTAAGCCCCGCCCTCTGTAAAACACCAACACGGAGGGCAGAGGTCCGAAGCAGCGTGCTAGTAAAAACACCAAATGACAGCAGTATGGTACTTTTCGGTTGTTTTAGCTTGAGTGCTGTGGATAAAGATGTGTATAATGCTGGGGAGAACACTGATTTCTCTAAATTTCATCCGTGTTTTACAGTCAAATCCATTTTTATCATCAAATAATGAGATTCCGTTTTTCTTTTCTGCATCGCTTTTGAAAGTTGCATCTTACTGTATGGAAATAAACAGTTTTATTGTTATAGCTGTAATACTGAGGTCTAATCAGACTGTGTGTGTCTCCCTTTAGGCCATGGTGGCGTGTTACCCAGGAAACGGGGCGGGCTACGTCAAACACGTGGACAACCCGAACAGCGACGGACGCTGCATCACCTGCATCTACTACCTCAACAAGAACTGGAATGCCAAGGTGCGTTCAGGGACCTCTGCTCATTACTGAATTCACCGTCTGTCTTCTGTGTTCGATCTTTTCATTGATCTTGTCATCTGTGATTAAAAGTGAAGATTGTGAGACTTTCCTGTCTGACGAGGAAATAAATAGTGACTCGCCTCTTTGTTGTGATGGCGTTCGACTCGCCCAGACTTGATAAAATCAGAAGAGGCGATCAGACGGATTTGAACTTGTCAACACTTTCAGTTACCTGAGGACACCTGAATTTGATGTGGGGAGATAACGGGATAAATTAAGCTATGATGTCGTGGCGACAGAAGTAAAATAACAGTGAGAGAGAGAAGAGCACAGAAATAATTTAAACTACATATGTTTAATTCAAAGTTTAACATATTTGTAAAACACTGATCTGCTTTCCTCTCCAGGACCACGGCGGCATCCTCAGGATCTTTCCAGAGGGGAAATCCTATGTGGTCGACATCAAGCCGCTGTTCGACAGGCTGCTCTTCTTCTGGTCCGACCGCAGGAACCCACATGAGGTGCAGCCCTCCTACGCCACCAGGTAACAAACCAGTCAGTCAACCAACCGATCGATCACTCATCATGACGCTAATGAGATTTGTTCAGTTTGTGCTGCGAGGAAGGAAAGTGGTTCTCTTCAACTCTATGAAATTTCCATTTAATGTTGTTGTGCAAACATCCTTTATCTCCCACTGGATTTGGATACTTATGTAAAGTTAAGGAATCCTGCACAGCCTGTTTCAGTTCTCACTTAATCTGAGTCAGAAGTACTTTATTGATCCCTGAGGGGTTGTGTTACAGCCAGCTGATCATGTTGCTCATGAAGACACTAAAGAAATAAAAATAAAAAAAATTTCAACTTTTTAAGTACAGTATTTTACAGTATGTGACAGAAGTACAATGAATAAAAAGTAGTATTAATGAGTGCTGGTAATGCTGACCGATGAAGTGAATTGGAATCTTAAAACTGCAGTATTGACCCAAAACTAATTGAAGATTTGCCTTAACCTGCTCTGCTTATTAAATGAATACTTTACTCTAATAAATATATCAGCCTGCATAAGACAGGCATGATTATAAAATAGGTCATTTGTGTCTTTAAAACAAGATCTACTGCAGATCTTCATTTGAGTAAAATAAATCACCGTGTTTAAAAACCAAAATATAAAAAAACTAAAACTTTTGCATTCAAAAATACTGCATTGTAGAGAATATTTTACTCTTAAGGCCGTGGAGGAAAAGTAGAAAGTATCCTAAAAAAAAGGTAATACTAAAAGTGCAAACTGCAGTAGTGATAAAGTCAGTTCACAGGATTGGATGCTGCTCTGTCTCCCAAAGTGATTGACAGGTTTAATAAAACAGGACTCACATTAGACAACTGAATTTACTTGACTGATGTTCTGATTCCATTAAGTTTGTCTGCACGAGTAATCTTTAGAAACACAAAACTTTCTGCCGTTTTGGCTTTTAAAAGTAGTTTATTTTCACTGAGAGGGAGGAGAGAAACGCTTCATCTACAGATACGTGGCGCCACCCGCTGGTGTGAGTGTGTAATAACAGTACTGAGGCCCATAGGAGGCTTCTTTTAAACTCAGATTGGTGATTAAGAAAACATTTCTTATTCTGTCGCTGCAGAGAGTTGGCAGGAATATAGTTGACGATGTGTGAAATCAAACACATAAAGAGGCAGTGTTTTGGCAGACAGGTGCTTTAATCACAAAACCTGTTTAAGAAAACATGCTGGGGGGTTTGAATTCCCTTTACAGACACTGTGATGGTGAAAAACTACTTAACGTTGTAATAAACATCAGTGGTGTTGTTGTTTGTTTCAGGTACGCCATCACAGTTTGGTATTTCGACTCGGAGGAGAGAGCCGAGGCCAAGAGACGCTTCAAAGACCTGACAGGTACAAACACACAGAGGACACAGTTATGAATATTTTGGACCCCTTCAGCAGCTGCAGTCCATATTAAAAATACTCACAGTACCACCAACAGAAGCTTACGCCACATCCAGTAAATTAATGTTGGAGTTTCTCAGTCTGTAAGGAAACAATGAGGCAAAATATTTTAAAAACACGTTAAAACTATTGTGCCTCCTACTTTGTACAAGACACTAGATAAGGAACTTTCTCACATACATACTTTATATTTACATGATCTATAAATACTGTATAGGACATTTATGAGTAAAATATAATTTCAAAAAAAATCTAATAATTTGTATATCGATAATCTAAAGCAGCACCTTGTATAGAAACATGTCAAAGGCTACGTACAAAATATAACAAATGAAAATGCATTAATGGAAAATATAGAAAACAGAACTAATGTGACTAAGGTTACCGGGTTATTTCACCCACCGGTTTCACGAATGCTTATATTCATTTGTCTGACTTATCAATATTTTAAAGGCTAACTGTGGTGTTATTTAATATTTTGACTTTATAAATCTCATGTGCAGAGCCAAACCGACATGTCAGTCACACTTTCTGACTTCCTGTCTTGGTTCCTACTGAAGAAACACAGTATAAAACACAAATATATAGTTTTAGGTTTGAAAACCTGTTGCACACTGTAGTGTTTAATCAAACAAACAGGAGGAAATAGTGCATTTGTTGGGGACTATTTTCAGCTGTGGATGAACATGTGATGCTCTAGCTCACCGATGGGGTTTTAATACCATATAGCGGCGAGAGACGACAAAGTTATTTTTTTTATCCCGTTTGTCCATTTAAAAGATAATTTAAGTCGTCAAAGTCGCAGTTTGTGGTAAAACAGTAGAGTTAACATTAAGCTTAGTGTGAAACCGCTCCGTGAACTACATCTCTCGTCTCGCACAATATACGCCAACGCTGTAATGCTAAGCTAATGGTCATTGATTATTTGACTCACAGTCCTTTCATCGCATCATCTACATGTGGAAGCTCTTTCACGAGAAAGTTATGACATCACATTCGCAACTTTTGGGTTTGTTGGTTTTGTAATAATAATTTTCACAGTTTGACAAACTGCGTCTTTCGTGACTTGCAAAATTATAGTTTAATTCAGGGCACAATTCAAACACCGTCAAAACACTAGTTGTCTCTTGCCGTTGACTACAGTGCATATATTTTCTGAAATAAGGTCCCATGGCGGTCCACCGGAAGGGGAGGGACTTGGGCTCTATACGCACACACAGTACTTAGTGGTGGTTTGACTCTGCACATGCTGACAAGAAGAAATGTATAGACACCTACTTCAGTTTAAACTACAAAGACGAGACATTTCAGATGCTTTAAATGTCATGACAGACTTTATATTCTAAATGTTTATGCATACCTTGATGTTGATGCGTTTCAGCTTCAACGGGGAAGCAGGGCAGCAGCTCCAGCTGATGAGGACACGCCGTCGGCTGGTGTTGGACACCCTGATCTGCAGGAGAGGATGGCAGGATATCCTCCCGTCTCTCTAAGCTTCTGGAAAAAGGAAAAAAGAAAAAATTAACCCTGGAGCGGTCGAGGGCATTTTAACTCTACAATTTGCATTCCCCTCGCTGCGCCGGTCGGCGTCCAGGCCGGGAAGAACAATGTGCTGCTGTGACCTGATGATGAGTTCAGGCGACCTGCGACTGCTCTGGACTGTTCCTGCTTTACATGATGTTTGTGCAATACTCTCCGCTGACTTCTGCTGAGACCTTTAAGTTTCTTCGCTTGTGAAAGAAATCCTAACAGCGGTGGTGATTAAACGACAAGCATTAAACGACAAGCGAGAGAGGCGGAGACAGTTCCAGACGTGATGACCAACTTTGAACGCCTCAACAAGAGAAGAGTCGTAGTACTCTCTTTGAAAGAAAAGCTTAAATTTGTTCACTGAGATTAATTTATTAAGTCCCAAAAGGTCTTTTTATAACTTATGAGCACAAGATAACTTAATTATCTTTTTGGCACAGAGTATAGAAATGTTTAGTGTGTAAAAATTTGTTTTCTTGTGCACAAAAGACTAAAAAATCTCAACTTTCAGGGCCTCAGTAAGAGACTTGAAATGTCAGATTATATTCTAACACAAATTTAACAGCTGACTTTTTCAGCTCTGAACTAAGAACTCATTGTCAAAATGATTCCAAACTTGACTTCCACTAACTAGCTTTCAAGAACAAACCATTAGGCTCAATTCTGTGAAATGAATGAAGAAATTACAGATGCATTAACTACCATGGAGTTTACACAATTACACTGACAGTCGATAAATGAGGTGCTGAATTATCACCCAGTTTCACCTGAATTAAATTGAAAAAAAAAATCAAAACACCTGATGTAGTTTGATTGTCAGGAGCTTATGTGATCACAACTATGCGACATTAAAAGGGAAACATCCATCTGAAAAGTGTAAGTAGAAACGTAAAGTCCGACTGTTTTTGTATCGTCACTCTAAGCTGCTGTTTAGCATTATGACTTTGTGATCTGACCACTCTGAAGTTTTTAAAATGGGCGCCAGCATTGTGAGCTCGCTCCGTCCTCCACCGAAGGAGAAGGACGAAGAGGAGATGGATTCCTTTGACGCAGCGGCTGTCAAGAGTGTGTGCATAAGAGCGGATGAATAATCGATGCTCCGCAAAGACTTATTGAGCCCGAGTCGCCGTCCTGAAAGAATAACGCTCGCTGCCAACTTACACTGCTTTTAAAACTGAGCCGTCACTTTCACTGCGGCCGGACCGGGACCACCTGAGTCTTCTACAACATGTTGGTGTACCTGCAACAGAAACACTTTCTCTGTAAACTGCCATGATCTGTACGGACGTGTTAAATACAACTTCCATTTCAAAGACTCTCTTTTTGAACGTGTGTTTTTGTCACCATGCACCGCAGAAAACTTTAAGATGCAACAAACATACTGATGATTTAGCTCAGTGATTCCCAACCTTTTTAGATTGTGGTACATTTCACCCTAAAATAAAAACCTGGACCCATTTTTCACATGTTTTGGTGATGAAATCTAATCTGTGCAGTACATGTTTCAGCCGGCTGCAGTGGCTGGAACGTATTCCTTCTGGCTTTATTTCCTAATGTTTCTCCAACACAACAAACTCCTCGCTCCATCTCTGACTCACGTTTCCACTGCGTCTTCCTGCAACAAGAGATTTCAGAGGGACAATGGTCCCCTGAGTAACAGTCTGAGCCTGTCGGTGGCAAGAAGAAACACGTAATGTTGACGGGAGCAGTTGCCAACAACACCAACCTATGTGAAAATAGGGCCCTTGTTTAAAGAGAAAATGGAGGAAAGTCTCCATCACAGATTAGCTTTAGTAACTTCTCCCATGTCAGATTTAATCGGAAGGATTTTAAAGGACTAGTTCAACATTTATGGGAAATATTTGCTCCCTTTCTATTAATACTTCAGCCCCCAAGAACTTTTCTATTCTTAACTATTCTAGATTAGCTTCTATGTGAACACACAATTAACTGCCAAAAGTTTTATTACTAATATATATTTTTATTATTTCAAATGAGAGCTTTTCTTACTGGTTTAAAAGTGGGCGGGGTTAAGTCGCGTACATATGTGCACCAATCACAATTTAGCAACTGAAAACAAGACTGCAGTGATTTCATCTTCTTCTTGAACTGAGGATGTTTGTTTTTTTGTGCTGATAGCTGCTTATTTAGACATCAATATTTAATGTTATAGAAAAATACCTTCAGTTTTTTGGGGGGGCTTACAGAGTCCGGACGTGCTGGCAACCTCAAGGTCGGCTCTCATCTGATTGGCTGAGCACTGATCAGGGTTAAAACTTTCTACTCATGTTGCCTTTATTTCAAAATAAGAGTTATTCGAGGTAAACAAACCAATCCTCCGACTGCACTCAAAGTCTAAACTGGATGCCAATTTAGCCTGATAACCAGTTAAGCCAAGAAAACAGCGCAAATGTCTGTACGCCAGAGTATTTACCCCAAATATTTAACAAATCATTGTTTCATAAGAAAAGCTATTTCACCTGTTATTTGTTTATAATGAAAAACCTGCAATTATTTTTCCCGATTAAATGGTGCAGAAAAATTGCCAGGTCTGTACGTCACATCTTCAAATGTACAAAAACCCAAAGATATTCAGTTTACCGCGATATGAAAAGAAGCTGAAACCAGGGAATATTTTATATTTGCCATTTTTGCTTTTCTACCGATCAACTCGTCAATGAATTGACTTTTTCTTTGAGTCAGTTCCATTCGCTGAAGGACATGAGATGCCAAAAAGGTGGTGTTATTCTGTCACACTCACATTAAGATTTCGTTTTTGACCCATGTGGGGTCCACAGGTGAACCACAGGTAGGGAACCACTGATTTAGCTTTTCTTAGAACGGCGAAAGTGCAAATATCCTAATTTCTAAACAAACCGTCCTTAAAGTCGAATACAAAAATAAGAAACTCTTTCTTACCCGATGGAGTTTTCTTTTCTTGTGTATCTGCGACTGCAGGAGTCACAAAGTTCAGCCTGCAAAGAAAATAAGTGAGCAAATCATTCTTCACTGGTGTGAGTTTGTTTTGACCCACTGTAAGCATCAGATGGGTGGAGTTAGTCAAAAGAACTCATCTTTGACATGGATCATTACAGTAAACTCCACCCGCCTGGTGCTTTAATATGAATAGAACAAACACCAACAGTTATTTCTGATCATATGAGGTATGAGAGAGGATGAGATCAGCTGTAGCGGACACTAAAATCAGCTGATTGACTTCTCAGCAAAGACAACAGGGAGGAGGAGGATGTTTCTGTGGTGGTTGAAAATGTGACACACACTTGCTGTTTTTGTAAGTTTAGTCCAAAAATAATGGGGCATTGGTTAAGACCTCTGGGACTGAGGCAGGCAGCACCCCCCCAAAGACTTTGTCTCCATCTTGTGGCTGAATCGTAGTACTGATCACTGTACTAACAGGTTATCTGCCTGAATAACATGGAGCCCTTCAGTCATAGGATACATTTTTTATATTTATTAATTTATTTATTATTAAATAAATTTAACATTTATTTATGTCATCTGTACGTTTGTCTACGACGTGTAGCACCTTCTCTCCAAAGCAAATTCCTCGTACGTTCAAAAAACGACTTGGCAATAAAGCTCTTTCTGATTCTGATTTATTGATATTAACAGTCAACATGTAAATAGTAAACATGACTGAAACATGGAGATCTTTATAATAAATGTAGATTTTCTGTAGGAGAAGACATTCTGTTGCATTATGATCTGCAGGATCTTGGTTATACTGGTGATAATGCCTTTGAAATTTAGATTTCAGACTAGTTAAGGATGGAAATTCATTTTTTCCTTTATTGCAATCTGGCATGGTAACATATAAATAGGTTTACTTACAATGCATTCATATTCCTTAGCTTCTGACCTATGAGAACATGCATACAGGCCTAATGGTTGAGGAGTTACACCTGATTCATGTTATTTTAGGCGTTTTTTCCTGCGGATACATTCTCCAGCTGATCCGAGGGAGGTTTGAATAGTTTATTTGGCTTAAGGAGGAGGATTTTCTCAGCCCATAAAAGAACACAATATTTCTCTCTGGAGATGAGGATTACAACATTTGCATTAAAATGAAAATACAAGTAAAAGTACCTCAAATTTGTACTTAAGCATAGTACTTGGGTAAATGTAGTTGTTACATTGAGAGTAATACAGCATGTTCAATAAATACAATGAAAGTTTTAAAAACTTTATCAGCCTACAGCATTGAAAATACTTGTTTTTACACTATTATTTTTTCTTTGAGGAAAAGATCATCTCAACTATTACTGTTTAATTATTCATTACTCAGGATCATTCCATTTTGAATGCTATAATAAAAATTCAATGATGAACATCACAAAAAGTTTGTGATGCTGTAAATGACTTTATTCAATCAGTCAAGGAAAACCTGCAGAAATTAATTATATATTCAAATGCTGCTGATCTTCCTTAGTTTCTGTTGAGCGCTGGCACAAAAGCAAGAAATTAAAAGATATTTAACTGCCCAAAGTTTGAAATTATTCATGTCTTAACAACCTGCTGACCGAACATGATCTGCATGAAAGTGGTAGTTCAGAGAAACCAAGCGAACACTAATAGGTGGAGATAAAATGATTTGCACTCACGTGTAAGTCCCGGTTGATCCTCTGGATGTCTCTGTAGCTCCACTCTCACCACCTGCTCTGTGTGTCAAATGTTTTCAACTCTGTTGGAATTAGAACAAAGCGTTGGGTGAATTTAATCTACCGCTCCGTTTTAATACAGTTACTGTCGAGTCCTGACGTTCAAATTTTTTTTCCTTCTCCAGGTACCTGATTCATCTACAGACAAAAACACTGTACCTCCACGCCACACACATGGCGGCACGTGTTGGTTTGCACTGTAGACCACCAGAGTCGGTGCAAAAAAAAAAAAATGTTTTGATACTGGGCAAAAATATTCATGTTTTGGCAAAACATAAAGGAAAAGGAGGATAAAGGAAAAACAAACAGATAAAACATGCAGCCTTTTCTCTTGTCAGCCTCACCTCACCTGCTCAGGTAAGCACCGGGTAGCTGGACAGATACAACGCATAAATAATGCAGAATAACTAACAAGGCATTCATTCCTCAATTACTGCTTTTATCACAATTTCTCTATGGTAAATATTTTAGCCTACCTGCGTGTGCACCAACTTCAGCAGTCATTTCCTCTTTCTTCCACAACTGTCCAGTCACTCACAGCCTAACGATGCACACCTGGTGACGCCTGCTGTCCCCGAATGAACAGACGAGCTGCACCAGAGTCACAGGAAAAACAAGACCTTTTTAACAAACAAACCAAATTAACCTGTTTAGAGGAGCATTTTTCTGCCCCCCTTCTCCCAGGAACAGGGATGAGACCCTGAAGAAACCAAGCAGTGCTCCTGTGCTAAAATATAACTACATGGACCCCAATGTTTGCTGTGTGTCAATTAGTTTGTGGTAATATGATTACATCACTTAAGATTAATTACCACGGGAGTCACGTTTTAATGTCTTATTCTTCCGCGGGCGCTTGGATTCAACCATCTCTTCAGCGCTCCTACACCAAACTCCATTAAAAAGTCTTCCACTTAAATATTAACGCGTTTATTGACAATCACATCTGCTGCCTAAATTGTAGAGCTTCTCCGAGTCATCACATCAGTGTTATCCTTTTAAAACCTCATAAGAAGCACATCTATACACCAAACTTCATTCAAATATCTGGTACCGCAGTATACTAGTGTCCTACAGTGGGCCATGCACATTTTACACATCCTCTCTTTAATTTTGGTTCCTCTTTGTATTGTTATTATGCTGCGTTCCGACCTCCAACTAGAAAAACTATCCTGGAACTTAATATCCTGCCACTTGAAGTCGGTCACTTGTCACGGTCAGCCATGCTTTTCGTTCACTTTCGGCATCACGCACCACCCATGCACCTGGAACGCTTTGAGGTCGGAGGTCAGAAGTTTCAACTGGGAAATTTCCCAGTTCCGAGCAGTTCCAGACTGGTGTTAATTGTTAAATTAAAAGGATTAATTAAAAGGATGGCAGCTTTAATGCAAAAAACTACATAAATAGCCTGTACGGTACTAGTTAACTGTGTACCCCTCTAGCTACATCAGTTGGTAACCCTCAAGTCAATGTTGTAGGTTACACGTCCTGAAGTTTTGGCATTTTTAACAATAACTTTTAATGCAGAGAAGATGACTCTGAGATTCTTTACTGTAGCCAGCAACAAATTTCCAACCTCCAACTAGAAAAAAGTTCTAGAAAAAGCCACTTGAATTTCCTAAAAACATTTGTACCCGACTTCACGAGTCGCAGCCAGATGACGTCGCACAACAATGTCATGGAAGCACAAATTGCAAATGGTAAAGCATAAACTAAAAGGCAAAGTAAAGTATTAAATTAAAATAAAACATACTAGTATCAGATATTAAAACTTGTTCTGCATTAAATTGTTGTAGAAATACTTTGTCAGTGTTATTTGGTAGCTGGTTGCAGTAAACAATCTGTGAAAGTCATCTCCTCTGCCAAAAAGTTATTCAAGGAAATGTTAAAAAGGCCCAGAAATGTGAAAACGTTTGGAGATATAGCCTCCAAATTTTGTGGACTTTTGCGGATTACCAGCTGATGTAGCTAGAAGGAAAACACAGTTAATGAGTAACGTATATTAATCAGTTGTTTTTAATAAAATGGCCATCCTTTTATTTAACACCAAGTGCACTGCTGAGAGTTTAACTGTGCATAAACATGCCAAAGAAACATGTTTATCACGGTCTGCCATGTTTGTTGTTTACATTAGCGTCATGCAGCACCATGCAGCCGAAACGCTTTGAGGGTCGGATGTCACTCCCCGAGGAACAGATGGGGGTGAAACCTCCAAAAAGATGGTAAGTGGACCTTTGAGCTTATCTTAGCTGGGGTACACTGTTCTTTTTCTATTTACATCTGTTGTTCTGTGTAGACATAATGTGTCATCTGTATCCTGCAGTCCTCATGGGCCAAAATAACATTCACTGCTCACATCAAATTTAAAGGAGCCATCCTAACCCCCACGGTCTGTTCCTCCAGGTTAAGATAACCGACCTGAACATGCTGAGGTTGCATAAAAAGCAGAGGTGTGTTCATTAAAACTAATGTCGTCAGGTCTTTCAGTTTAATGACGGACAGGATCAACATTCAGCCCGACGTTCGTTAGAGCTGCGATGCTCGATTACTGCTGATGGCTCTAATGGAACAAACCATTAAACATGAAGACATTCACGGCGAGGTCAGAGTGAGCTTCACTTCCTCAAAGGTCAAAGGTCACAGAGGCCTGACAGCAACTGTTTTGTTTTTCAGTGTTTCTTTGTGAATACAGCAAAAAAGACAACGAAGGAGATGGAGAGGCTGTCTGCACACCGACAAGTTCTCATTAATGCAACAGGCGAACATCAATGTGAACAAAAACACAGGCTGAACACATGACACAGTTATAATAATCTGGGGGTAAGATGGAGGGGCAACAATGTGTTGGACTGCCCCCAACAACTATTCACTCTTCAGTCTAAAATAAGTTTTAAATCTGATCTGGCCTGTTGTTTTTTTTTTAAGCCGTCAGAATCTTAAATAACTGTAATATTTAATGAATTATTTAATGTTTTTTTTCATTAGCATGAAATAGGGCTCCAAATGCAGACATGTCATTTTGAATTTCTGTCTCAATTTCTAGTGTTATTTTTTTATTTTTTATTTTTAAGTTCTTTTGGCTTTTGTGAGCCATTAAAACATCAAAGTCCCGTCTGCTTGCAAACCCACATCACAGGTTGCAAACATCTGAGCGGTGGCAAGTTAAACCAGAACAGTTTTTCTCATCTGAGTAACATTTGTTAAATTTAAGTATTTTTTTCAGAGGCCTAAAGAAAACGACTAAAGACTATTCAGTATTTTTGTAAGAAAAAACTAAGATTAAAGAAAAGCACATCATAATTTTGTGTATAATATTTTTCCTGAGATCACTGGTCCACTGAGAATTATTTCTATATCGACAGTAAAAGACTCAAACTGTCCCACAATGCAACATGAAACAGAAAACAAGCGCTGGTCCTAAATAAATATAATAAAGCAGCACAGTCGGTCAGACTCCCTGTAGGAACATTACAGGACTGATTTTTCTTCAGGAACTTTAAACGTCACATCATGTCTCCGGTAGCGACGGCGTGTCTCCAAAAATACTTGTACAGATTTTTGTGATGTTTTGACTTCTGGTGCATGTTGGGAATTAGGGAGATCAGCCCCTGTGAAAGCGCAGATGAAAAAGCGGTGCGTTTTTCATCTCCAACGCTTTGTTTCATCATCCGTCCATCACGGCCGATGATGAAAGGCCGCTCGTTACGCCTCCGGTGGACGACTGACGCTGTCGGATCTAAATTCCACATCAGACCTCCTCACTGAGACGGACAGCCAGAGGTTATTAGAAGGAGCTTCAGGTTGGAGCACCTCATCACACACACACACACACACCAGCGCTGCCTGTGATCTATGATTCATGTGCGCTCATTTAAAATAGTGTGAAATATTTAAAGTTGGCTGGTCGGCCTCAGAGGGTCGACTGACTGACCTCTCCGCTCTTATTACTGCATGGAGGAGGAGGAGATACAGGCAAGAGAGAGAGAGGGGGGAATAATAAAAGTGAGAGGCGAGGAGGACTGGATACCAGCATGGGCGGAAATTTCATTCAATAGTAGGGGGGGACAATAAACTTTCTCTAGAGCAATATTCGAAGGGGACACAAATAATACAGCCAAAATTGTACTTGTATAGGATACGTTGTGTCTTCTTTTTAATAGCAAATTGTAGAGACTGTCCTCACCAGAAAAATGACAATATGGATAGTTTGTGCAGCAGGTTATGACTCATTTTTAGGTCTCTAGTGGCCGTGCAAGGGTAGCAAAACAGGAGATCGGGCGACGTGCAGGATGGGGGGGGTCGGATGGGTCAAACCACAGACTTTCACTCAGCGGAACGGCGTTTGAGTCCCGTGTGAAACAAAGTAAATGTTATTTTGAGGTTTACTGACTTCTGTTCACACGACTTAGGTCATTTACAAACCACAACGTTTTCCTAAAGCTAACTAAATAGTTTTTGGGGCCTAAAACTAGCGTTGTAGTACTTGAGACCGGTCTTAGTCTCGAGACTGGTCTTAACACCACTTTTTGATGGTCTTGTCTCGGTCTCGGACATTGAGGACTCGGGATTTTATTTCGAGACCATAACTTTGGGAATAAATTGCTTTTGCATTGTCTGATTTATTTGTTAACATCATAACTTTGATGGAAAACGTGTTGCTTCAAATGCAACCAATAACCCTAATTAAACGTGTTGTTCCCGTTAAGGACTGTCCCCCCTCCACGTGATGGTAAACAAGGAAAAGGAGTGTTGAATAAAGATGCTTATGTTGATTTCAGCTCTTAGTGTTTGCATGTGGGTGTTTTAATGGGAAAGTGGATCTTTCAGATCAATTTGAGAAGCACCTCTGACCTCGTTCCACATTTTATTGTGTGTCATGTAATGTGGGGAACTGGTCTTGGTCTTGACTCGGTCTCAATAAACTCTGGTCTTGGTCTTGACTTGGTCTCGGTTTGGGCGGTCTTCACTACAACACTACCTAAAACCTAACCAATCTGTGACCGTTGCACAATTTTAACCCACGTGTTTAATGTCGTGTGATGTCAACACATTCTCACTCCCGTCACATATTGAGGCTTGGTCAAGGCCCTTTGGCGTCGCTTTTGAACGCCACGGATACCCCTTTTGGGTCATTTTTAGACGTTTAGGGCTCTGCGGTCAACTTAGCAACGCTTAGCAACAACATATATGCAACATCCGGTAAAGTTAGCAACAACACATACGCAACGTTTGCTTACACTTTCAAAATAAACACAAAAAGTACTTGGTTGGGGTCAGGAAAAGATCATGGTTTGAGTTAAAATAACTACGTATGTCAGTTAACATGTTAATTAACGTTACTTACGCAATTCACTTGCCTAACTTCAAGAAAAGTATTTAATGTTGACGGGTTTTTTTCCCCCCACACGGGACACAAACCCCGGTCTCCTGGTCTACAGGGTTTCCCCCACTGCGTTGAACTATGACGCTATAGGGATCCCCAGTGCGTTACAAACTCACATCGATGGGTCTTGACCATGGGTCCATTTGTGACTAGTTGGGGAGTGAGAACGGCTTGGTGATGTAGGTCATGTGACTCACGTAGTTAACTCTCAAATGTGTCGTTTTGGGAGGCATTGGTAGGGGCGATTATTTAGGAAACGCTCATGTATGTCACATGGGGGAAATAGATAACTGACCTATGTTGTTGTTTAGATGGGAGGACTTGCTGAACTGTAACCGGGTGGATCAATATCGCCAACATTTGTCACTCGCCAAAATATCTGCTGACTTTTTTATCTTACTTTACACTTTTCATTGTTATTAAAAATGAAAGTGTTTTTACTTTTATTTGTTTGTACGTGCTATCGTAACCGCTGCACCTTGGCCGCCATTTTCACGTTAAAAAAAACAAACAAAAACAAGAGGCTGCTGGTCCTTCCCCTATGTTGCCAATATGGTGACCGTTGAGGGTAAGATGTTCCCAGCGTTCCACACTTTACATGGGAACTTTATCAGGGGAACAAGAACATTTTGGAGAACTAAGAGGTTCAGAGGATCAAGGGTCTAAATTAAGTTTCTGTACAAAAGTTTCAAGTGCTAAAAACTTAAACTTGTGTACCGCCTCATTCAGAAAACAAGGAAGTAATCTATCCATATCAGGATGAGGGTCGAACATTTCATGTTGGCTGTGTTCGAAACGGCTCGAACGATCTCTTCCTGTCGTGTAAGAAGCCTTCAAACTGTCCCCGTAACGACCAGTTTTGAAGGCCGCATCGATGGTGACTTGATGCTGACTATTACCCATAAACCAGCGCGGCTGCGTCCGCCGTAGTTTTCGAAAACTGATCAAGATGGTGAAAAACAATGAATAACAAATATAAGTTTTTAGTATTTTTGTCGCTTTTTGAAAAGCTAGCGAGGACCAAACACTGAACTATCATATTAGCCCGCGACTGTAACCAGCAAAGTTTGTTCAGTCTGATTTCTGTGGCGTCTGTTAGCCGTTTTGACCACCAAACACTCTGCAGATTATCTACTGTGGGCAGTTTTCTACTCTGAATGCTTCCTTTTCATTGGCCAAATTCTTCTAATCTTCATGATTCTTCAGACGCGTACCCAGAACTTTTAGTCCCAGGAACTACTTTTCAAGGAACTAAAAGGTTCCTTCAGCCCATTGTTGCGTGCGTTTCCACCGCGGTCTAAAGACCTGTGAAGATTTGGCATGTTCTTATTCTGACGTACGCCACACAAAGCGACGGACAGGCATCGTTATTTATGCCACACTGCAACAGCACAGTAACCGTGGAGGAGATTCAAGTTGTGCTGCTGTTGATCGGGATTTATTGGTTTGCAAGTGTGATCGACGATGGTGGAAAAGACGAGCAGTAGTAGCAAATCAGATTCAAAATGCCCAAGCGAATAGCCTCCACTCGCCCAATCAGAAGTGTTAAGCTCTGCAAGCCCCACCCCCCAAAGTTCCAGCACTTTTGGAAAGTACTATCCCCGATATGGGAATTTTTTTGGGGGGTAAAATAGAGTCCTCAGAACTTAATTTAGACCCTGGTCCCTGCGGTGGAAACGCAGCGAGTTCCTTGAAAGGCTCCTAGTTCCTGACATAAGTTCTTCTGGTTCCATGGTTCCTTGGACCACAAGGGGCTCGTGTTTCTACCAGGCCCAATCTTGCCGCGGCACTCAGCAGCTGACTGTACCTTCTGGAACATAAGGTGGGCAGCGTGTAATAAAGTGGGACACCATTACAGCAGTGATTTCACCAGCAGCGAGACTCTTAAGGTGAAGCAAACCCCAGATCCCAATAGAAAGTGCAGAGGCTGATCAGGACACGCCATCTGTCACCACAGCAGTTAATGGTATTTTCCCAGCGACCAGGTGACGTATCCACCTCTCTCCGCTGCAGATAAACATACCTGATTGGCTGTCTGGAGGTGCGAAGGTTTCCAGGCAGGACAGGAGCTTCGTTTAAAACGCCTCAGGGCCTCCCTCACTGCAGCGCCGGCTCTGATCTTTCCAACAAAACGCTGGGAGGAAGGTCAAGGTGAAGAAAAATGAATGTTTTAGAGGAAAACTTTTGTCTATCTTCGCCTCAGTATTTTTCTTTGTCCTCTCCACGATCCTATCCACCCATCTATGAGGTTCTAAGATTATTTTCTTCTTTAATCTCACACCACAAAGATTTCACGAGGCCCCAATCTTCTTCGCCATTCAGTCTCTGTAAGCAGAGTTTTCTTAACAGAAACCAGAAAAACAAACAGGAAAGAAAAGGCGAAGACAGAAAAAGGAATAGACGAAGGAAGAGGGAGAAAGCAGGACTGAAAGATAGAAACGCTGACAGCTTACTGAGATATTTTGGCGAGGAGCGGGATGGCTGAATGTGTCAAACAGAAGAAATGATGCAATCTGGTAACAAATTCGAGAGAAATTTTTATTATGAATATGGCACCTGTAAGATGGTCAAAACCGGGTTACAGAAAGACAACCATGTATGTGACATGTTCCTCTGAACGGATGAGAACCTAGTAAACTTATAAAAGAACAACTGCTATAAAAATGAAGTATGTACATTTTCAGATTTGCAGCATTATTCATGGTAAATGAACTCAAAAAGATGTCTTTTGAAAATAATAATAAAAAATAAGCCAGGCACTCAAAGTTAGCATCAGTTAGTCATGTGGTTTTTTTTCTCCTCTTCTGTGAGGAAAAAAAAAAAAAATCAAAACAAAAAAAATAGAAATGTACCATAGTTTTCTCTTTTTTAATATTTTAATTTGTTTGTATTTAGAATTTAATAACACTGTTAACATTGATAATAAGAGATTCCCTCTCTCCCGTATTTCAGCTACTTGGCACCAAGTTCCTCATAAAAGAATCTGTATAATTGTACAAGAAATAGTTAAAAACACAGACACAGTTTCTTCACAGGTAAATGAAGTGATTTTTCAATATTTGTAATTCTTAAACACTATGTATTTTTGACAGCAGCTGTGATTAAGGTTTTTACGTTTTTAAAATCACCAGCAAAGTTTTCATTTTTCGACATAAAACACAGAAAAAACATTGAAACAGCTTGGACCGGCTGTTTGGTTTTTGTTACATGTGGGTGTATTTCCTGGTTTCATCTGAGTTATGTGCCCCCAACCCCTATCAAACCCCCTCGTCTTTACCAAATGGGGCCCTGCTATTCGTTTGTGCCCCGCCCCCCTGTTTTCACGCAAAAGTAGAAAACGCTAAAATCCAGAGGAGCGCGGAAACAAAATGCTCCTGAAATGACACCACAAACGACCCACCAACAATCGACAGATTGAGCCACCCAAATCCCATCCCCCTTATTGAACACAAAAATAAATTAATCCATCGTTAAGTTTCATATTCTGCTTTGTTTGTTTGTTTGTTTGTTGTTGTTGTTGTTTAACATGTTAGTCGCAGTAACAAGACATTGATTCCTCACAGAAAGCACAGACGCTACAGATTGTTTTTCCTGATGTGAAGGGGAGATCAGAGGCCCGGGTCGGTTTGACAATACAGACTTTATTCTTCCAACAGGCCTCCATCGCGTCCCCGTTTGGGATCGACAGACTTTAAAAGAAAAACACAAAAACCGCTGGACCAAAAATAAACAAAAAACAACTCGGGATCGATCACGTGAAACGCATCGGACGAACTTACTAAACATGCAGTTCAGTTTTCCAAAACACCTATAAAAATAGATTTATAGTGCGAAATATTTTTTTCTTCTTTTAATTTCTTTAGAAATCTTTAAAACCGTTTATTACGTGTCCTGAAATAGTACTGTGATATTTTTTTTTTTTGTTCTCCCCCTTTGAACCACTTGTGTAACTTTGTTTGTCCCGTGAGAGAAGTTTGCGCAGGAAGTCAACAAGTTCGGTGGGAACCAATGAAATACACCCAATGCACACAAGAAGCCCCAAGGGACTCTGGGAAATGTTTCACAACTGAGGCCTTTACGGTTCGTCCGGGACTAAAATGCTACTTTAGGCTTTTCCTCATCATAATTGAATTCTATATAATGTAAATATTTATTAGTACTTTGTATATGCAAGAGCTGGAAACTGTGTTTCCCAGAATTCCTTGGCGGCAAAAACATGGCTCCATAAACCTTTGAGCTAGTTAAAGAATCTTTTCATCTCTGAGAGAAAGGACAGCAAGATAAAGAGGTTTGTATAAGACTACACAACAGCAAAAAGCAATAGCAGAGAGGGAAGGAGAGAGGAGGATTAGAAAACCAAACAAAAAAAACAAACAAAAAAAAAGGGGTTTTACAAAGACAAAAAGGAAGCAGCGAAAAAAAAGGTGGACTCTACAAATGTTTTTTTGTTTCTTGCAAAGGCCACCGAACACGAAATTCCACAAACCTCCACTGGTTTCACTAAGACTGCAGATAGAGGGAGATAGAGAAAGAGACGGGGGAAACAGAGAAAGGGGGGGTTTGTCATTTTTGGGATGTCAATCATCCCATAGACCCCTCCCCCCCCTCTCTAAGCCCCGCCCATCCCCCCCACACTAGAGAGAGCACAGAGAAGACAAAGGACAAAAACAGCTACAGTAGCTCAGTATATACTGCATATAGTCAACACACACAGAGAGAGAAGTCGCCATGAAAGACTTTTTGACAGCCAGTGACACTAAACACATCGGTAACACGTTTTTACGGCTTAATCACACTGGGTAATAAGGATGACAGGATGGTAAAGACGGGGCTGTCAACTTTAAAAAGATGGATGTTGTGACAGTTTTTTTTTTGTTTGTTTGTTTTTTTTTACTGTTTTAGTTATTACTTATTCTCATCTTTTTTTTTTCTCTTTTTACCAAAAAAGTAGAAGAAAAAAAAAAATACAGATGAACGAGAATCACAGTGCTTTTAAAAAACACCAAACTTGTGAGAGTAACACTTTTTTTTTTTTTTTTTTTGGCAACGGAGGCTGGGGAAGAAAAAACACAAAACAGAAGAACGACGACAAAGACAACATTATTTAAAGGAATGTGATTTTTTTTTCTCTTCCTCAAAAAAATGTATATCCTTATTTTTTTCCATAGTTATTGAATTGATTGTTTGATAGATTGATTGATTGAAAATGCATGTCTTTATTACAATCTCCTTGTTGATATGTGTTTTTTTTTGTTGTTTTTTTTTTAAATCACAGGGTCCGGTGATGAAATGGAAGAGAGTGGATTGTTCAGTAAAATCTTGTGGAGGTGATTCTGGTTTAGGAAGAAGAAGAAGAGGAGGAGGAGGAAAAATAAAAACTACAAAAGTAACTGTACAAAATAAAACAAGACAGTGATCAAACAGGAGCCGGTCGAGGTTTTCAACATTCATTTTTCAAGTTAGCGTTGCTAGAGTATTAGCCTCAGTCTCACTGAGAATTAAAAGTGATTACGTTAGAAAATACAGAAAAACACTATATAGCCTCAAATTCAACCAATCAGCTCCATGTTTTGGCCTGCAGAACTGTCCCTCGTGGCGACTAACGTTTAGACAATCGAAGGAGGGACATGTAGGGTGAAACATGGAGATGGTGTTGCTGATTTAGAGGTTCTAAGGTTCTCGCTGTGTTTCTGACTTTCCTGAAGGTCAGATGAGAAAAAAAAAACACAAACAAAAGAACATTTGAGAACTGTTCCCCCTCCAAAACAAAACAAAAAAAAACAAAACACGATCAGTCTGTCAACGAGCTGTGGGTTCGTTTACAGCACCCACATCAGCCAGCTGAATCAGGGTTACTGGACGGTCGGTAGCACCATGAATTCGTAGATTGACAGGTAGAAATGTAGACGGAAAGATTAAAGATCAGGTAGACAGAGTGAAAGGTAAGAGAGATCGAGATGGGAAGAGATGCAGAGGAGGTTATGTTTGGTGCGAGACCTGTAGGTAAACTCCTGGGATAAAAGAGGAAGTAGTAACATTCGATAATTCACAGGTCATAACCCGGCTGAAATTGCTTTTTTTTTTTCTTCTTAATGCTTGATTCGTAAGTTAAATCTGAGCTACAATATTTTATAATAAAAAAAAGGAAAAAACAAACAAAAAAAAACCAGCATTAATTCTCTAAACTATTCCCTCAATCGAGAAACGTCCTCAAAAACCTTTTTTCAAAAGATTATTATCTCTGAGACCTTTTGTCGGGCGCAAGAGAGCTCCCTCTTCTCTGATTAAAAACGTTCTTTAGCCTTGATCACATCAAGGAACGTACGGAGGAGCGCCACGTAGAGTTTTCTGTCCGTTACAAATCCCTGTACCGTCCTCCTTTAAATACACACAATCAGCATCTTCATAAAGATGCAACAGAAACGAGTCAAATAATAAAAATTATCCCCGTCAGGCTCCAGCGGAGTCCTCAGGCGATATGAATTCTCTGTAGGCAAAAAAGGAATTCTTTACAGTAAAGAATTTTTTTTTGTGTGTTCATATGTTCAGGAGAAAAAAAAAAAGGTTGCTGATCGCAAGAAGAGAGAGTAGGAGGAGAAGAGGATGAGGAGAGAGAAAAAAGATAGAAAAGGGGGACATGTTTGAGGGTCATTCATGTCTATTACACAAGCTCAGTTGCTCAGATTCAAAGTGCTAGAGTACATTTGTCATCCTTTCCTGTCCTTTGTCCCCTCTCGGAAACACAGTGCTGTGTTGATTAAAGATAGCAAGTAAATAGTCTTTCATTCTTCTTTTACTAGTGAGTAGTCTTTTACTTTGATTCCAGAAACACAGTAATACGGTCTTGAACGTTTTGCGTTAATCCTCCTTCCTCTCCAGAGTTGTCTGCGTGGTGTGGATCCCGTTGCTGTACACCGGGAACGGTAGCGTCGAGAAAAGTCCCTCAGCTGTGGTGAAGACATTGGCCGCGGTCGGCATCTGGCCTCCCAGGGCGCCGTTCCCGGCGGTGGCAGCCGGAGATCCGACAAAAGGGCCGGCGGCTGCCGCCGCCGACATGTTGAGCCTGTGGACGTGGTGGTAGAGCATCTCCATGGGCGTCTTAGGGTCCAGGCCGAACCCCGAGCTGTCGACAAAGTTCATGGCAGCATTTGGGAGGAGGTTGCCTTGCGCCATAGCCAGGGTGACGTCCGCCGGTGCGTACCTGATGGTCCCGGTGGTGTAGACCCGGGGAGCTGTCGTGTTGGTGGAGGCCAGAGTCCCCGTGACCCTGTGCACCAACGGGAGCACAACATTACCGGCCTGCAGACGCTGTAGCGCCTCGAGGTCGCCAGAGTACAGCAGTGAGGAGGAAGAGGTTGACGAGGAGGAGGAGGAGGAGGATGAAGAAGAGGTGGTGGGAGTGCCTTGTTGCTTGTCCCGCGGGGAGGCGGAGAGTGGAGGGGACAGGGGGTCGGCAGAGGAGGCGCTGGACGGAGGAACTAAACTCGCAGCGCTGGAAGCAGAGGATGGGGCAGAGCTTCCATTGTAAGGAGGCTTCCTCACTCCTCCTGCTCCTCCCTCGGTTCCAGGAGGGGTGAGGACGGACTCGGGGATGGCTACCTGGAGAGAGCCTCCCTGGGGTGAGGGGAAGGTCTCGTGGCTCCCCGGAGCGGACGGCTTGGAGGTCATGCTGTACGGGGACTCGTTTCTGGAAATCTCTCTGTTGGGTGGGAAGTTCCAGATGCTGCTGTCGTTGTCAAAGTTAATCGGTTCTGCCATCTCCGTCTTGATTTTCAGGACAGACGACGTTGCACCTGAACTGTTTGGCGAGTCAGTGGAGGCGAGAAGGTGGGAGGAGCCTGTGGCCTGTGAGGGGTCAATCAGCTGTGTGGTATCGCCCATGGAAACGGGGCTAGGTGTGTTTGAGGAGAGACGGAGCCTCCTACTCCGGGATCCGTCCCATTTCTGTACTTTCCTCCTCTTCCGCCTCTTTTGGAGCTTGCTCCCGGCATTGGCACTGTCGCAATCTTGCACCCCCCCGTCCTCTTCCTCATCGTCATCGTCGTCCTCCTCTTCTTCCTCTTCCTCTGATGAAGAAGTTTGCGAGTTCTGAAGCTGTACTTCGTCCCCTTCTCCGTAGTGCTCTACTTTTATATGTAACCCTCCCAGACTGCCCAGTCCTCCGATGGCGCCCAGTCCCCCTAACCCACCCAATCCTGCTAACCTGCCAAGCCTTCCTCCTCCTCCTCCTCCTCCTCCTCCTCCCCCCGTTGCCTCCTCCTGTTCTTCTCCCTCTCCATCTGAAGGTTCCAGACTGTCGTCACTGTCCTGGCTCTCGGGGTTACTCGAACTGTCTCCTTCTTCCTGGCGCTTCATTTCCTGTTCGGAGGAGCAATGTGGTTGGCCCGGTTGCTGCTGACGCTTGCTGTCTGTCTCTGGATCCTCGCTGCGTTCTGATTGGTGGCCCGACTTTCCCTCGGACTTGGCGTTCTCATTGTCTGTTGGGAAGAAAGGTAAACTAAGTAAGTAAAACTTAAACGACAATGAACGCTTGATGATTGATTGAAGAACACTGCGGTCTGTGACGCCAACAACAGGTCACTTTTAGCCACGCTACAGCGACATGGCTTCAGGAATGGCAATGGTTGGTCTGTCGATCACTTTGGTAAATAAATATTTGATGGATTGACACGACATTTTGTACAGACATTCATGGTCCCCAGAGGATAAATCCTTATTACCGATCCCCTAACTTTTTCTTTAGTGCCAGGTTGACATCGGCAGTGGAAATTGAAAAGTCTCCAAAGCTACTTGATGGATTTCTGGACCACCATCATCAGGTCAACACTTTAATTTGTCAAGTACTTTGCTTATTAAACAAATACCTCCAAATCTAAGACTTTCCTCTCAGCCTCAGCTGTACCTTTTGTGCTAACATGCTAAACTACAATGGGGAAAATGGTGCAAATTATACCTGCTAAACATCACCATATTAGCAAGTTTTGAGAAAACATCCTGTTGATTTAGCTAAAAACCATGTCCAGGTTGCACTAGACGAAAGATAACATGATATTATAATCCAAAGGATTTGTCTTCTGGGGAGCAGGAATACGATCAGGAAATGTTGATATTTCTCGTGTTTAAGCAAAGGTTTTGTCCTGATGTTGGGTCTCCAGGAACGGTCAGATCACCAAGCCTAGTTCACAATACACAATTTTAAGCCCGACTGTCCAGTCGCTGAGCTCACTGACCGTCGGGCTGTGATCAGGAGCAAATCTGTGATTGATCGGTGCTCGCCATTGAACTACTCAATGACGCATCAAAACGGCTCGCCGGCACACCGCCGACGCCAGACAGATGTCTCGCATGCTCATTCATTACAAAACACTTTTTACTCCCCTCCAACTCTCCCTGTAGCTCAGATTATCCGAGCTGCCCGCCTGTGGTAATCCTTTCTCACCATAATCCCCTCCCCCCACCACTCCGCTACCCTCACAGTCACTTTTCCCTTATGTTTTTTTTGACAAAACATAGTTTGGAGACCAGGCGCCAGGTGTCATTATCAGCTCGTGTAGTGTGTGACCCCGTGTCGCCAATCAGTCCCATAGTGTGAACGCCAAACCGACTTAGGCCCCCATCCACACTACTGCGTCTTCGTTTTAAAACGGAGACCTTTTGCTAGGTTTGCACCTCCTGTCCAGATTAAAATGGCGAAAACGAAGACCTATAACGGAGAAGTTTGGAAACGCTGCCGACCCCTTTTTTCATTTTTAAACTCCAGAGAGCGTTTTAGTGAAGACGGGAAAAAACGGAGAACTTTAGAAACGATGACGCAGATGCTCACGTTTGGCTCTCTGATTGGATCTCATGCAAAGCAGACACACACGGTGCTACTGACAGAGTTTTTGCGTTGGTATTTTTATTAAAATATCTTGTACCGTGCAAATAACACTTACAGCCTACACTTGTAGGTTACTGTGCATGTCGCCGTTTACTTTGCGATGACTCCCAGTCTGCTTTCCGCCGCCACACCCGTTTTTAACTCCCGTGTTCCATTCAGTCACAGCTCGTTATTGGTCCATGCAAAAAAAATTCTGGTGTGGTTCTGCGCCTGCATTACTTTATTATTTTGCCAAACCTTCTGTAACTACAGAAGAGAGAGATCATCTGCTTCATGTTTACACCTGCACGCCCGGTGTTGTACGTGAACGGCCACTAGATGTGCGTTTTCAGTCGTTTTAGTATAGACAGAGATCAACTCGGATGCGCAGCTAAAACGCTGGTGAGGACGGAGATCGTGTTTGTTTTATTTCTCCGTTCCTAAACTAAAACGGAGTAGTGTAGATGGGGCCTTAAAGACTCCCGTTACAAGACAGCAAGTTGAAGTTGACGCTGAAAGTCGTGTAGTCTCCACGTGCCTTTTCTCTCTCTTGGAAACTTGAATGTTTATACAAAAAAAAATCACGGTAATCCATTCAATATTTGTTGAGATCTTTCACCTGGGATCAAAGTGGTGGAACACTTAAAATTATTCTGAAGGAAAAAAAGTGAATGTGGCATTAAAACACTATTTGCGGATTTGTATTCTCCAGCAGTGAATCTCAGGAGTAGTAATCGTTTTATTTTTCCAGACAGGATTTCCATGTGCTGTGTTGTGGATGCCCTGATGTGTGTTCAGTATCTGTAGCTGCTGCTGTTCAGGCATGTTGGCTCGGTCCAGCCCATTACACACACACACACACACACACCAAACCCTGCCAGCACACACTGAGGGCAGCGGCTGCCCAGCTGGCAACGCTCTGACTCCCTCATGGCACCTGAAATGTCGACTCAATTGCTTTGTCTGGGGAAAACCTTGTATCTACATTAAGTGTGCTTTGAGAAAACAGATTTATTCTCGGGCTGGAATCAAAAACACACCTGCAGTTTTAAGTGTTTCCCAGGGAGGGGTTGGTTTGGTTTATTGAGAACACTTCCACAGTACCACATATCAGGATTTGTCAGGTCTAAAACTATAAAGTCCTGTCCATTGTTGTCCCTGGTGTTTCCTCAGTTCACCAAACTTTATCAAGATGGAGACAGGCCTTTCAATAAAAATAATGGAAATATGGATTTTTGATTGGATGATTGAATTTTTTTTATTGAGGGTTTATTGTTGTTATTTCGGCTTGGATTTATAACAGAAAGCCTTCCTTATAAACCAGGAATGTGACATTTGCAAGCTACTAGGCAGGTAGGGTCTAAACAAAGACATCAAAATGCATTACGAGAAGAATTTGACTCAAACTCAGGAAATCTTGGCTTCTGCTGCTTTGACTTTTACAGTTAAGTTGAATCTGACTTCTTAAAGTTCCCTTAAAATTTTGCACAACAGGAGAGTAGTGAAGGCAGTTAAAAACAGTTGAAAGAAAAATCACCTCTTTTCTCTTCTACCTCACACTCACATATTCTTCTTTAATGCAATAACGTTGGATATTTGTTTGGGACCAAATCCAACCATGGCAAGGCAACTTTATTTGTACTATAGCACATTTCATACACCAGTACAAAAAAACTAACTACATGTATATGTAGATGACAAAAATAGTTTACAGTTTTTTGTAGGCAAGTGTTACAAGAGAGTAAAGTAAAATAAAATAATTACTTAATTTAAATTAATAACAATTTTAAAACAATAAGAAATTAAGGTTATTTAAAAGCAAAGGATACGAAGCTTTACTTGGTGGTAGGCAGTGACTTAGTCTGTATCTCCAAGCCTACTGGTTTCTACTCGAGACGTAAGTCTTTAAAAACAACTCACGAATGTATATTTTCATGTTAAAAAGGCTCGGTAATTTCCAGTGGTGGACGAAGTATTCAGATCCTTTACTTAAGGAAAAGTTCTAACAGCACACTATAAAAGTAGTCTGTTAAAAGTAAAAGTACTGCAATGAAAATGTTACTTAAATAAAAGTATGTAAGTACAACCAGGAAAATGAACTCAAAGTAATAAAGTAAAAGTACTCGATGCAGAAAAATGTCCACTGTGACTGTTGTAGTAGTATATATTATATCATGAGATTATTATTCCTTATGCATTTATCCAAAAGCAGGATTTTACTGGTGAAGTTGGTATTTTGTTGGTATTTATCAGAATGCAACTAATAATTATTTTCATTACGAATTCCTCTGATTAATTTCTCACTTAATTGATTGATTGTAAAAATTCCAAAAATAGTGAGAAATGCCATCATTTTACAATAACCCAGACCCCAAAGTGAGACCTCCATGATGATTGTTTTGTCTGACCGACAGTCCAAACCTCAACCTAACTGACATTAAGTTCAAATGGTGGGTGGTGACGGCGCAGTAGAGCCGGGTTTGAATCCACTGTGAGACGCCATTGTGTCCCTGAGCAAGACACTTAACTCCTAGTTGCTCCAGACATATACAGCAATTGTAAGTGGCTTTGGATAAAGTGTCAGCTAAATGAATGAAATGTAAATAATTAAAAGCAGTATATCGTCACATTTTGTGTAATTTAAAACAAAACATCATATTTTATAAACTCTTTTTGTATTTTGTGTGTAAAAAGCTTACTTTGTAAAGTAATCTCCCTTTGAGATGTAGAGGAGTAAAAGTAGAAACTGGCAGAAAAAACTGTAAAGTAAAGTGCAGGTACCTCAAATTTAGTACAGTTGAGTAAATGTACTTAGTTACTGTCCACCACTGGTAATTTACAGACAAGAGGAAAGTGCATTTGTTGGGGACTATTTTCAGCAGCGGATTAATCCACATGTGGTGCGCTCTAGTGAGTATTTGGGGCAGCAGTTATTTGTTAACGTCATTGATATTATGGTGTATTTAACTACTAAAAAAAACAAAACAACTATAATACAAACGCAGAGGAAAAGGCCTCTTTGTCTCCTCTCTGGTCGTGTAGATTGCATCCTAACAGAAAAAAGGTCAAAAGCCAGATATCTCATTTTAGAATATGTTGAGCCTGAGCACCCCGGGGCCTGTTGGAGCCCGGCTGAAGCTGGCCACCTCCCGCAGCAGCTGGCATCAGTTTACAGCCGACAGCGTGCCAGAATCATTCTCCTCCAGCAAGAATAACAGCTGGCACTGATTCTCATCATGCCAACGCAGGCTGCAGGACTTGATAATATTATGCTCAAGGTGGAGGTCCTGTATTGGTTTAAATTCAACTATACTGGCAGTGCGTGAACAACTTCTTCAGTATTGGCTGCTTGAAATGTTGGTAATCCTTTATTTGTATTTCAGGATCTAAATTCAGAGGTCAGTATTTTTAATATCTTATTTATTCTTATTTTGTCATTTCGATAATTAATCTAATAAACAGCTCAAGAAACTCCCAAATCCAAGAAAGAGCTAACGCTAGCCTTAACTTTGATTTGGTATCACACCAATTATCAAACTTTAAAAGTCAAGATAAACCAAGGGAGATCTCCACCAAAGGTCCCCAAAAAAGTCGCCAAATCTAGCGCTATGTTGGCAACACCTTAATTTTTGGCTTTCACAGACATAAAATGTTGAGAAGCAGCAGCATGTTGGTGTCATGCTGTCAAATCTGGGATTTCGTTTCCATTTGTTTTGTTTTGGTGTTTTGGCGGGCGTTCTGTGGCGCGTTGTGGCCTCTTTGTTGAGGTGTTTTGTGTAGCTGTGTGAAGTTTGGAGGTATTTTGTGGCGTTATGCCGTGCTTTATGTCATTTTGTGGCGGTTTGCAGCCCTGCCAGTGAGTGCTCAGTCCCTGCAGCTGTTGGCGTTCATCACCATCCAGCCTGGCACAGACTGCACACTGGCAACAACTGATAAAATATCTTTGGCTTCTCTTATTCGGGCTGTATTTCTCACTGCTGGTTACACTGGTAAAGCCTGAAGAGGTGCTTGTAAGGACTCATATAGGTTTTATAAGAATGTTGTGTGTTAGAGAGAATGTTTTAGTCTGAATATTATATAAAAACAGGGAAAATCCCAAGATACCCACCAGAGTTTTCTTTGGACTCTGACTCAGAGTCGGAGGTCTCGGAGGACTCAGATGTTTTCTCGGGCAGGTTGGGCAGCTGGGCGATGTCCATGGGCGTGTCTTTATACTCTGGATTACTGTGATAACATCACAGAAAGACGGTTTGTTTCAGTTACTCACAAAACATTTCCTTATTTATACACAATATATACACAATAAAATAGCTTACGGCAGTGAATGTTAACTCCCCCCTGCAATATCCTTCTATTTCATGTGCATTTGTGTAATTTCACAGTATTATTCCCTTTTAATATATCAATTTAGCACATCAATTTGTTGCATATATGCATCCAGTCGTTCATCTATTGTTTGATTATGCTTGTACTTGTGTGCATAATTTTTTAATTAATTAATCTGCTTTTTCATATATCTCCATTTGTGAAAGACAATAGATGACGACCAAGCCAAGTTGACCTCTGACCTGAGGACGTAGTTGACCCAGATGACGTTCTTCTCATTGGCGTTCTTGGCGTTGATGGCGATGGTGGCGCTGGACTGGATCCAGATGTAACCCCCGTTCTTCTGGATCCACCGGTAGTACTTTGTCACACACTGACCCTTATTCATCACTGAGAGAGAGAGAGAGACATAGAAACACAGAGAGAGAGGGGGGGGGGGGGGGGGGGGGTTGTTATTTCATGGCGGATTTTGTTTGATATTCTGGCCGTTCCTAACTGTTGGACTTCACACTGACCGAGGAGCGAATTCATCACATGAGAAAAAAAAAATAACAGAGGAAGAGCTGGACAGAGGGCGAGAGAGGAAGACAGAAAGTGGGTGAGAGAGAGCGAGACAGTCATCAGATGTCATGTGACAGCTGGCTGAGAGCTGCTCTGCTGCCGCCGTCATTAATCAGACCAACACACACTGCCAGCCTCTGTGTGTGTGTTGCTGTCTTTTCATGTTGCTGTGCATCTCTGATAGGCCTGAGACAATACACTCCATACACACATTTCCACGATATGTTTTGTTTTTATGCTCATATGTTAACAAGTTTAAAAGTTTTCCTGATAGCGGTTGGCGCCAGGGATAAAAATTAACACCCGCCACCCACCAAATGTGGGTGGATTTTCCGTTTGGCCAAATGTAGAAGGCTATAAATATATTTGGCATTTAATATCTATTTTACTGTAATTAACAGCAGACCGGTGTTCTGACAATATATGCTGCCTTGTCGAAAAATGCTACCTTATGTGTTCCTATTTCTAATCCCATAAAGTTATAACTCTCACAGTATTATCATAGAATCATCATGACGTCTGAATCATTTTATATTGCACCACTACTCACTCCATGTGTACTGTAAGGAGATGGGGAGCATGTTTAAATACTATATTATGCCATCTTTATTTAAGATATCAGGGGTAGCGTATTCTGATAGACTAATAATGATTACATTTTGATATTGCTGACCATCAGCTACTGTCTTGACGGCATGCCCAACAGCTAGCAAGGTTCCACAGATTTATGGCCGTGGAAAAAGACCACGCTTGCGGGTCATGCGCAGAACCGCTAAGTAGCACATCAATAGGTAGCATAAATCGACAGAACATCTGGTATCTAAAATTGTGTAACACACGATTAGAGGCGTTCATTGGTTGTTGTTTATGTTCTTTTCATGTTACTTGTGTTTGATTGGCGTAGATTTGTAAGGGCGTGGGCGTCAGCACGGAAAGAATATCCACCTTTATGTCGCATTCGCTTCTTCATACTGAACAAAAGTTTAGAGCTTCATCACGTGTGAAAAGGCCTTTATCCCGCAACCATGTGTGCTTTCACAGAGCGGCCCGGCTTTACAGGAACAAGCAGCGTGCGGCGGCATGCCGACTGTGGCTTTTCACGCAGATATCTGTCTGTCTCTGTCAGGACCAGGAGGCCAGAAGAGGGTGACTGTAGAAAGTGAGCAGTCTGATGAGGACGTTCAAGTTGAATGATTTCTTCAGTGTTGTCACATGAAAAATATAATAATAATAAAAGATATAATCAAATATTTACAAAAATGTGAGGAGTGTACTCGCTTTTGTGAGATACTATATTTATGACATAAGGCATGATTCACAAACAACCAACACAGCAAGTGTATAGACATCAGTTGCAAGTTAGCTACGGCTCATCTCATAACTCATCATAAACTCCACTTCCTTCCATTATTTCAACACATTCCTCGTCCCACGGCGTCCAATACTGACCCTTTACAAAGCGCACATGGTACCTTTCAGCATCCATATGAAAACGCCTTTTTAAGATGTGGTTAACGTTGTGTAATGGTCGCAGTTTGGTTAGGTTTAGACACCAAAACTACTTGAGGTGAGCTTTAGGTTTTGGTTGAAATAAGTACATTAGGTGACATAACTCATGCATGTAAAGTTATATAAATAAAAACTTTAAATACTTTTAGTTTCAGACGGCAAATGGGTTCCAATGGACTTACTTGAAGGCCTGTACGGACACCGAAGGGTACCTTGTGTCAAAGCCTCGGTATTTGATACCCTGGGATGAGAAAGGGATCTAGTCTCTGATAAGGGTGAATAGACTACCCAGTGAAGGCCTGGCAAAGTTCAGCCTGGCTACTTTTTTATGGTATTTTGCAGAAATATTGACAACAAACACACTGCAGTGGTGGGGCAGTGAGTTTACCTGATGTGGATACATTCAAGTCGTCACCAACTGTTGGAGAAAGGTAGCTAATTTTGCTCCACCTATAAACTGCACATATTCTTGCCCTACTGAACTGTTGATCCATTTTATCATCATCACATGTTTATGTTAGCAGATTTCTTTTATGTCATGTCCCAACCAATCACCAGTAAGTGCCGTCGACACAGAAGCTGTGGTTGCGATTGCTGGGAGCAGTTAATGTGTTTTAAGATAAATCAATGAAATACGTTGAGTAACAGTTGTTATTTCTCTAATTAGACTTCCCATCTCTTTTTTTCTTAGAAGTAGCTAGTTAGCTAGCGGTGACCCATATATGTCTTGTTCTCACTTGTTTGTCTTCATTGATGAAGGTGAAGACTTTTTGAGTGAAATTATGAAATAAGACAATCGCTGGGAAAAATGGCACTGTGAAATAATAAATCACAAATAAATGCTGCCCCAATAAAATAAAGATAATTTTATTATTAGTTTAACAGTTGAACAATTTTTATTGTGGACAATATATTTTATTTGTTTATTCAATCATATACTTGATAATGTTTAATTTATTTAATTTAGGTCTCTATACCTTTCCTGTTTTTTTCTTTTCCACCCCTTTAATTCTACCTCTCTCTCTGTTTTTAGATACAAGTTTTTAACCATTCACCAAACTTGATCAACTCCTACTCCTCTACACAACAGGTTTATTTCAGATACTTGAGATTAGCAATATTTGCATTGCATATGCATTGTTTTTTTGCTTATTTACCTCCAGATAAGGATGATTACAACATACGCCCGAGAGCGCTGCAGTACCCAACACTCTCCACCAGATAGTGCTGTGACACTGCGACAGGACCCCGTGGCCTCAGGAGAGGGCAACCCCCCCCCCCCCCGCCAACCTGTGCTCCGCCCTGCGACGGCACGCAGGCAATAAATTTGGCTAAATTAACCACTAAATGGTTATCTCAAGCAATATGTATTGGCATTAATCAGGAGCCGCTCAAACAGAAACAGTCAGAGACGAGAAGCGAGGGCCACTAAATTCATATCCCTCTCCTCCATTTAATTACAGACACAAATAGGTTTTTCCATGACAGAGACGAAAGAGAGAGAAAGTAGGGGTTGATTTATATAAAAAGAAGGCCAGTAATTAAAAACTATTAGAAACTAATAGCATTGTTTAAGACGACATCCCCAGGGCTGCTGTAATTGACTTTGGTCGGGCGGCTGCTGCTCATTCGTTCTCTATTTGCCTATTCAGAGAGAGAGAGAGAGAGGGGAGGGGGCGAGAGGGTGGTGGGGGGGGGGGAAATAACTTGTTTGCATGTTAAGGTAGAGATGGTGAGATCACGTCACCTTGAATGTGACCTTGCTTTGTTTGTACGGCAGAGTAAATAACGACACAATGAATGTGCGCACACACACACACTGCCTGTTCAGATGACTGCAGGTCCTCAGAGAGCAGCTCAGTGTATCAGCATGTCCAATGGAAGAGGACACACACACACACACACACACACACACACTCAGTCATACAAGGCTTTACAACTCCAGCAGACTACACACCGTGCTGCGAACACAATACACACTGTCTCACATATGAAACCATACTGGCAGCTGATGTTCACTACTTATTACAATAAATATTTAATAAATATGAGGCTACATAATCAATACTGACACTGACCTTCTGGCTAATTCAGATTTTGGTGCTTTTCTTTATTCCGCAGTAACAGAGGAAATCTCTCCTCTAAACTGTTCAATCTGGGGTCTCATATACAACAACTCTGCGTATATTGATCCGTGTTATATGGAGACAAATTGGACACACTTGGCAACAGGAGGTGGAATTAAATGGTTTGCTTCAGTGACGTGCTTCTTATGTATGACCCTTAAATAAAGGACTTTTTATTAGGATACATCTTCTTTGGCACATTTCTTCTATACTGGTCACATCTTAATACAACAGCATCCATTCCTTCGTCTTTATTCTGCTGTCTTACTGGATTCAGAGGATGTAACTTTGGTTAGTCCTTTCAAATTTGAAACAAAAATCTTCCTAAATGTTGCCTTATTTGCTAAAATCGAAATTACAATAAGAACCAGACAAGGGCTGACCCCAGATAGTCAAAGAGTCGATGCTTCGATGGGCGGAGCCTGATTCGACTGTGAAACAAGGATCGCGCCATTTATTGATATGGCGGGTGCTCAACGTCTGATTTTACATAGAACTACCAGTTTTCTTCCAATAACTTGAAATAGACCAGAGAGGAACCGCGACGTGCATGTAGTTGTCGGCAGTACGGCAAACTCTGCACAAGACTGGTGAATGGCAGGAGAAAGAGAGAGAAAGTGATCAACAATAAGCCTCAGATTAGCTTCGGGCTCGCAATCGCCGTGCACAAAAACACACATGATTCGACTACCAGTCGACTATAGGCAGGACAATTCTGATTCGACTCTGTAGATCCTTAGTCGGGTGCAGCCCTTGACCAGATATTTATGAGCTGGGCAGATGCAAACATTTAGAAAATACCATTTCAATTTAAGGTTTGACTGTTCAACTAATGCAGCTCAAGTCCGGTAACTGCAGACTTTCAAATTAAAACGCAAGCGTTTCCAAACATCGCCCATTTTGAAACGGCACGTTATTAAAGTCGTCAAACGTTGCAATTTGGTTAAGTTTAGGCAACAAAACTACTTGGCTATGGTTAGGAAAAGATCATGGTTTGGGTTATAATAACTACGTATGTCAGTTAACACCTAAGTTAACTTACGTCACTTGCGTAACTAGTAACTTCAATAAAGACATTTAATGTTCACTTTTTGTTTCAGACGGGACACGAACACCACTCGCCTGGTTCAAAGGCGGGATTCTGGCCCTCCAACCACCTCCATACTCAGTCTTTTCTGTTAAATATAACATACC